CTCTCTCTCTCTCTCTCTCTCTCTCTCTCTCTCTCTCTCTCTCTCTCTCTCTCTCCTCAGTAGTGCCATGTCTGAGATGAGAAACTCTGGCCTTCAGACACAGAAAGACAGGGCCAAAAACCTTATCAAGTGAGGAATGGTGGTACCCAGGAGACAGAAAGGGTAGAAAACCTTCTTCCTCAGGAGCTTCCTCAGAAGGTAATTGCTTAAAACGTGGAGATGTCTAAAGAATGTACCGGTTTGGCTGAAATAGGCTTATCCATGACTGGGTGTTGCACCAATCTGTGCACAGATGGCTGGCTGGAAATGTTGGGGAAGCATCTGCTGCCCAGGCTAGTTATTACGCTTGTACCAGAAATGTGTCAATTGTCTTTTTGCAGGAGCGGATAAAGGCGGATGAAGTGATTGCCATCTTGGATCAAGAACAACACGGGAAGCATGGACTGAATATTAACCCCAAAGATGAGCTATAGAAAACAGAGTGTTCTATTGAATATTTATTTAAATAGATAATCTTATGAGAACCTTTTTATTTTTGTACAGAGCCGTGGTATAAATTAACAGGATACTATGAGTTGTTAGATTTCCCCCTCTGTTCCTAACTTGATTCACTTTGCTTTTTTCTGGGCCTCCTTCAGTTCATCATTCAAAGCCCAGTCACACCCTCAAGCACACACCACACAGAGTCACAACACACACAGTCTATATGCCACACAGGTAAACATATAACACAAATACACTACAGAAGCACACACGTGCCACATACACATGCCACAAATTCCCAAACATGTCATACATACATAAGCATACCCAAACGCATACCACCTAGATACACAAATACTACATTACATAACACACACACACACACACACACACACACACACACACACACACACAGTTAATTTGCTGCATATGCAGAAGCTCAACTTGATGGGCTGGTACTCAGCATCCTACAGCTAGAGTATGCCCTGAGTCTAAAGATAGAATGTGGACTGGTCTCAGGCCTCTGTGGTTTGCTGCCTTTCCCCATCGCCTCTCATAGTACTGATGGCTGAGAGTTCAGACTCTTCACAGCAAGCTTGCCTTGTGTCTATGGAGCCTCAGGAAATAGTCTGCAGGGCCCCAAGTATCACAGGGAGCAATGTCTTTAAGACTTGAAGAAGCCACCTCTGGAATAAGGATCGTGATGGGGGCCATTTTGGGTAGAACGTTAGGACTGGTATTTTCAACAGAAGTTCTGATTCTCCTCCACAGTGCTCTGTAAAGGGAAGCTCCAATTTGTCCTTAAACAGGCACACAGAGGTTCCAGCAGCACAGGTTCACCCCTGTGATAATGAAAGAATGTCTTTAATCCCCCCGCCCCAGGAGCTACTGCTTGGCTGCTGGAGAGGGGCTGCTGCTGGTATAAATTCAGAACTGTTTCTCACAGGCTGCACCTTGGCTGCCTCTGTTGGGCAGCTTCTTCTCTGTGCTGCTGTCAGCTCACAGAGGCATGCTGTGTCTGAAATTTGAATAAAGGGAGCCTTGTTACAGCATTTGTCTTTTGATGCACACCCATTTTATCTTCCGATGATGCTTTTGTAACTACCTGGGACAACCCAGGACCAATGGAACATGCCAACTCTGTCAGCAGACAGTGAGCTGCAAGAAAGTGGATAGCTTGCTTTGGAGGGAACAGGACTGGCTAGCAAGCTGTAGTGTTAATTCTGAGAACTCAAAGACTTAGGGGTTCACTGCAAAAGTTCTGCTCTGCCTTACCCTAGCCTCCAGGAGACCACACCCACTCTTGTAATGTGCTCCAGTAAAGGTGAGGTTCACTTTCTGCCACTTGTGATCTAGTTAGTGCTAAAAACATTTGTTCACTAAAACTGAGAAATTCAACTACAGTGCTGTGTGCTGTTGGCCTACTGCTCCCAAAACAGAATCCTTGATGCATCTCTGCCAGAAGAATGGGGGAAGCTCTAGACTCCCAGGTGACCTAGAGCGACTCCCTTCTTCTTTCTGGCCTCCAGTTCCTTTTCTGAAAATGGTGTAACTCATTATAATTGTTTCCAAAACCTTCTGCCTTGCTAAAGATACAAACCAAACACAAACCAATGGCAAGACTAATTCTAGAAATATTGAAAAATACAAGCAAATTTCTTTTGGCTAACATGTAAGAGCAGCAAGTGACGTCACGACAGGTGTATGTAACTATAAAACTTTTGCCCCGACTTTAGGGTTAACAATTCATGATATGTGAACGGTTGATTTGTTTGCTCACCACTGCAAAGCACTTGCTGACACACAGAATCCGTGATAGACAGATCTGGGCAAGGATCTAATTTCTGTTTTCTGGTTACAAGACATCAACAAAGAAATAAGTCCTTGGCTCTGCATAGGTCTTGTTTCCTGGGTGCGCTCGTGCCCTGGGAGAGGCAACAGCTTCAGCACAGAATGTGCCATCCAGCCCATAGAAAGTGGGTAAGGGCCTCAGTAGATGCCGCCAATGTTGTGTGCGATCCCATCATGTGTCACACTGAGAGCAGGGAGTGGTTGTTCCCGTTCTGCTGGTTGGCCGTGTTGCTTTACACCTGGAACACCGAAGATATACTAAAGCGTTCATTTTTTAATCTGCTCCACATCAAACCATGCATAATTTCATTCAAATATTTAGGGAGTGCCATCAGATGACTTAGGAAAGCCAAACTCAGGAATTAGAGTCTATATATTACATAGTCCTGTCTGCAAATAAGTGGAAAATTCCATTTGAATTTTTGTTGTGGTGAAGGCTAAAGAAAGCTACAGAAATTACAATCCAATTCCCTCTTTCTCCTTGACCCAAAACTGATGTTTGGACATGATCCTGTGATGACTGGATTAGAACAGACAGGACCAGAACTAAAATAGGGGATGCAAGAATACCTTGCCTGTGGGGCTGAAATCTGGGCTCGGGGCTTCCTCTACCTAGAGAGCGGGTACCTTTATCTCTTTAGCCAAAGATGAGAGTTGCCCATGCCTTTGCAGGTCTGGATCCTTCCACCAGGGGCACCTTTAACCTCATTTACACAGAAGGAGTCTGTGCTCAAAGCAGAGTAGATAACAAAGTCTACTTTTATCACTTAAGGACCATTTGTCCCTTCCTTTGTCAACCTTCTATACTTCAAAGGTTTGTTCTTCATTGTAATACTGTATTAAACTTATCTAACACTAAACATGCTCACGCCTGAGGAATCCATGCTTGTTCTAAGCATAAGATATGATGCTCATTTAACAAGGGAAGACAAGGAGAGCCATGAACACTGTGTAGTGACTACATGTAGATATTTCCTTGTCTCAAGAGCATGGAGGCAGAGGAAGAAGCAAGATCTTTCCAGGGAGAAGAGAAACAGTTATGAGAACTATGGCTCCCTCCACCATCTGCCCAGACCTGACTAATTTGCTAACTTAGAAGGCTTGATTTTACAGAAGCATGTAAACTCCTTCTCTGTTCATACTAACAACCATGGGACAACATGCACCTCCTTCTGTTCCATGAGATGCACTGGACCCATGTCCCTAATTCAACTTGATTCCAGTTCATTCATGAGACATACCTAGTGCCCAGCAATACTCATGACAGGCATAAAAATCATGGGTGGATCATGGGTGGGTGTCTTTTTTCTGTCCCTCAAAGGCCAAGATCATCTTTGACTTAAATTTAGAAAGGATTGACCTAGGACAGTGCGACCTGGGATGTGAAGTGCTTTCTGCACAGCCTGCCTTTCAGATCACAAGGAACTCTCCATTTTCCTGGCTTTTCATCATTAGCACATAAGTAACATTTTTTTGGCATGTATTCAGCTGAAGAGGAGCCACAGAATGAGTCAGTTCCATTTAATAATATATACCTATGAATTTTAATTGAAGTACAAATGCTGAATTATTTCACATAAGACAGCCACAGGGAACAACTCCCTCACTGACGTCAAGGAAAGAGTAATGGGGCCACCTCAGCAGCTCCTCATGCCAAAGCATTAAGCATTCTGAGGAAGCTGACATTGCTAGAGCTGAAAAGTAGGGAAAGGTAGACTGATCCCACACCCTGAGCTCTTGGGGGCAGAGAGGAGCCATTTGGCAAATTTCCAAACTGCAAGGCCCCAGTTCTGTTCCATCTATCACCAAGAAGCCTGTGGAATGAAGTGACCTCTCCACATGTTCCTAGCAGCCCACCCAAAAAGCTTCTGCTTCATGACAATTTGATGTCTTCAATCAGAGATGCAGAGCCTGGTTTGTTTTTTTACCTGGTTGATAGCTTCAGCCGCATCAAGACAAGTCACGTCAACCAACTTCAAGCTCACTGCTGGGCTGGAACAGTGTCTCTGTCAGACTGTCAAAGTCTCTGTAGCCTCTTCTTCTTCCTCCTCCTCCTGCTCCTCCTCTTCCTCCTCCTCCCTGCAGATCACAATGCTTACTGTGTCCACCACTGCCCTGACCTCTGAGAAGCAACAATGACAAGCATGGAACAATCTGATCATTGATCCTGGTCTGCTGTAAACAGTGGATGCCAGAGGCCATGTGAAGTGCTTGAATTAGTGAATCATCTCTGTCTTCAAAAATCTTATTAAAAAGCCATAGCACAATAACTGAAGAATATATTCCTGCTCTTCACTTTCCTGAAACTAGAGAGGGGGAATATGATTGACTGTTTCTTCACTGTAGAACATACCTTTTTCTGGCCACGATTTTTTTTATATCTGAAGAAAGCAGAAACCAGAAGATGATGTCCTGCTTCTCTTTCCTCCATAGGACAATAACAGAGAGCATCCAGGAGAAAGGTTGAGAGCTCCTCCTGCTAATATCCCTGTCATTTGTTCACTCCTCTCTGTTCTTGGTAAATAAGAAAGAGCAGTGTTTTCACTGTGGCTTCCACATCAACCTCAAACCGGATGTGAGTTATGTTTACGTATGGAAACCCTTGCCTAAGCTCCTCTTCTCATGAAGGCAGGTCCCCCACATAAGTCTCAGAAGTCCTATAGACCTTAATTAAAGCCTTCTCCTTTCCAGATTCATGTTTTCACCCTTGAGTTACATCTGGTGGTGGGTGGGGTAGAAGCAGGGACCAGGCAAGAATTACTGGCCATGTCTCATCTTTTTCCACTCACTAACCGTATGTCCCATTGTTTCAAAGACTTATAATCACAGTTGGCATTTATAATGCATTTTATGGTCTTGAAGCACTTGGCACCCGTATATAAGTACATAATTATGAGAGATGTTTAATGCAATCTTTATTCTGTAGATAGGGGGAAAGGGCAGTCTCGGGGAAGATGATTGAACAAAGCTTTTTATCATTACTGAGTTTGTTTCTCTGATAGTCTTGAGTGGGTAAATAAGGGCCGGAAGGATACTCAGAATGAATGGAAGGACTCAAAGTAAGGTGAAGGAAAACCAATGTCAATGAATTGGCAACATAAAATAAGGAGTGTAGTGCATGCGTTATACTAGACATAGGAAGGAAAGGCCAGATGTGTTCAGAGAAGGGGAAGGTGGGGATGGTGAACGGGTTACAGAGGTGATGGCTGAACTGGTTGGTGAGTGCCCCTTCCTGCTGAATATAAGCAGATGGGGCCCCAAACTCTCCCTGTACCACAGTCCCCTGTGAGAAGTCCTTGGTGTGAATGGAGCTGATCCTGAAAGACTAAAACACTGAGCCTTTGAGAGTTCATATTGAAGTTGTTGTTAGGGGTTAGGGTGAAATAGGATCTGTACTGCAGATTGCCTTAGGAAAAAGACTTTAATGAGTGCTGTGAAAATCCAAATAAATACCAGGTAAGGAGGAAGTTTTATTTCATTCCCTGGCAAGAGATATATTATTTAAGTGGGTGGAGTGGAGCCCTGGGGGAGCATGCTTCCTATCCAAGAGAAGAGGAGAAGCTCCTGTCAGAAGTGCCTCAGAGAGGCCCTCACACAGCCAGAGCCCATGGCCTCATCTGCAGTGTTTCATCTGCCTAGGAACCCAGGGATCTCCACACTGGCTCTGCGGCCAGTCTACTCACACAACCTGTACACTCTCGTGGCAGACTAAGGAAGACATTCTAGCCATGAAGTACGATGTCTGAAAAGCTAAAAGCATTTGGTAAGCTCAGAGGGTGGGGACCACATGTGCCTTGTTAAGGACGTCTTTCCCGGTGGTATACAGAGAACAGGGTTTCAGAGTCCTTAGGAAACAGAAGAAAATTATCTTCAACAGGAGTTAATGGAGTCAATTTGCCTTATTTAAAACCAAATGGTCAAACATTACACAACTTGTGTCCAATCACATTTTGTTTCTTCTCTCTGCCTGTTTTTGGTCTGTTCACCTTTGCAAGTGCCTTTGAAGATCTTAGGCAACAGTATTCCTTAGATTTTTTTTAAGAAATCACAGAGTGCCCTAGGCTCAGAAACTGACTTCAAGGCTTCTGGTCACTGGGACAATGTTTTGGTTTCTCATGATATCCAGTGTTATTTAGCAACGTCTACTAAGCACACCTCTGCTTTCCCATCCTACTTTTAAAGCTCAGAGTTTCAGGGTATG